GCAGAAATGAAGGGAAACTAAATAGCAAGTCAAAGCAATAAGAATAAAAAAACTCAGATAAATGTTAATGACATAGGTAAATATAAAGCCAGTATCATTGTAGTTTTGATTTTTAGCCCTTTTTGTTTTCTATGTGACTTAAAGGACAAATGCATAAAACAGTAATTATAAATTTATGACAGTGGGCATATGATAAAAGAGGGGACAGAGCTTTGTATGAGCAGAGTTTTGTATGCTACTGAAGCTAAGTTTATAACAATTAAAACTTAGATTATTATATATTTAAGTGGAAACAACACAACTGTCAATGGAGGAATGGATAAAAGTGATATATTCATACAATGGAATATTACTCAGCCATAAAAAGAAATGAAGTACTAATACATGCTACAGTGTGTATTAGCCTCAAAAAAATTATGCTAAGTAAAGGAAATAAATAAAAGGCCACATACAGTATGTGAAATATCCAGAATAGGTGAAGTCATAGAGACAGAAAGTAGATTGGTGGTCGCCAAGAACTGTGGGTGGGAAAAATAGGGAATGACTGTATAATGGGTATGAGATTTTCTTTTGAGGTGATAAAAAAATTTTGTAGATGGTGGTTGCACAACATTGTAAATGTACTAAATGCCACTAAATTGTATACTTTAAAATGCTTAATTTCAAGTTATGTAAATTTCATTTAAAAATTTTTAATGAAAAAAGTCAGAAACATGAAAATATTCACAATGTCCTACAGTTTTACACAGATATTAAAAAACAGTAAATATAAGAGGAAACTATCAGCATGGATGGCACACAGAAAGAATAAGTAATGTTTTAAAAATTCTTGTTTCAGCTATATGTATTTTTGTATTTATTAGGTTATTAGGTTATAATGTAAAACATATTTATTGCTGTGTGTTACAACAAAAAACATTGAAAGCCACTTAAACTTCTGTTAGAATAGTTTAATTATCCTTCTGTGGCAGCCATGAAAGTGCATAATTCTAAACTTTCATGAAAGAGAGTCACTACTTTCTAAGGAGTGCAGTTAGTTGACAGCCTTCGATGGCAATACCTTTGTGATTTATTAAAGCCTGTGACTTCTTCAATAAATGGTGCTGAGAAAACTGGACAGTCACATGCAAAAGAATGAAACTGGACCACTATCTCACATGATACACAAAAAATAACTCAAAATGGATTAAAGACTTGAATGTAAGACCTGAAACCATAAGACTCCTAGAAGAAAACATATGCAATAAGCTCCTTGACATCATTATTGGCAATGATATTTTGGATTTGGCACTAAAAGCAAAGGCAACAAAAATAACACATACAACTCAATAGCAAAAAAAAAAAAAAAAAAATCTGATTTTAAAATGGGCAGAGGAACTGAACAGATATTTTTTCAAAGAAGACACAAAGGGCCAACATGTACATGAAAAGGTGCTCAACATCACTAACCCTCAGAGAAATATAAATCAAAACCATAATGAGATATATCACCTCACAACTGTTAAAATGCTTTTCATCAAAAATATGAGATAAATGTTGGCAAGGATGTGAAGAAAGGGGAACCATAGTACCCTGTGGGTGGAATGTAAATTGGTTTAGCCAGTATGGGAAATAGCATGACGATTCCTCAAAAAATTAAAAATAGAACTACTATTTGACCCTGCAATTCCATTGCTGGGTATACATCTGAAGGAAATGAAATCACTACCTCAAAGAGATATCTGCATCCCCATGCCCACTGCAGCATTATTTATCCAAGACATGGAAACAATCTAAGTGTCCATTGAGGGATGAATGGATGAAGAAAATATGGTACATATATACAATGGAATATGATTCGGCCATAAAAGAGAGAGAAATTCTGCCATTCTGGATGGTCCTTGAGGCATTATGATAAGTGAAATAAGTCGGAGAAAAATGAATATTGTATAATCTCCCGTGTATGTGAAATCTAAAAACAAAACACCTGAACTCATAGATACAGAGAACAGATTGGTGGTTGCCAGATGGACAGAGGTTAGGTGAAATGGGCGAAGGTGGTCCGAGGGTAAAAACTTCCTAAGTCTTGGAGATATAATGTACAGCATGGTGACTATAGTAAATAATACTACATTGTATATTTGAAAGTTGCTAAGAGAGTAGATATTACAAGTTCTCAACATAAGAAAAAGAATCATAACTATGTGTGGTGATGCATATTAACTAGACATATGTGATCATTTCACAATATCTATCAAATTATTCTTTTATACACCTGAAACTAATACAATGTTATATGTTAGTTGTATCTCAATTTTAAAAATTTAATTAAAAAAAATTTTTTTAAGCCTTTGAGCCAAGGCGATGTTTTTCCCAGGCAGCATATAGCATGATGAATTCCAGGGCCTGCTCACTTATGCCCCCTGAAGGACTTCTTTGATGAACTACCCCCAATTTCCCTATTGGGTTAGCCAATACTTTGCTGATTCTACACTGCAATCTTGGGCTCCCTCTGTCCCATTGTTTACTTCTCCCTTTTTCTTTCAAAAATGTCAAATCTGCATCAGGCTCTGATTTACCAGGCCCAACCTTTCCTATCACCCCTTAAATTTTCACAGGCCATATCTCCCAATAAATCTCTAGTACTCCTAACTCCATTTTATCATCACCTTACTACAGAATCTGAACTGATACGTCCTCATCACACTTATTACAATTTGTAATGTTATCTTTATATGTTTTTGTGTTTGTATATTGTCTCTATCACACTGTAATCTCCTTGGCAGTCTTTACCATTGAAGGGTTCTCCTCTCACAAAGCCTGCATAACCTATGTGTTGACTCCAGCCTCATCTCACCTCTAGGCCCATACAGGACAATAGTGGTTTTGTAATTGTATCTTATATAAGAAAACACAGCTGAGAGAGTGAGAAGACACTAAAATCCTATGCCACAACTACATCTTCCAAGGGTAGGATTTCTCAACTTTGGCATTGTTGACATTTTAGATTGAATAATTCTTTGTAGTGGAGTGGCTGTCCTGCACATTATAGGATGTTCAGTAGCATTCCTAAACATCTAGTCCTCTCCTCACTAGATGTCAATTGCACCCTTCTCAGTTGTGACATTTATGATTTAAATGTCTTCAGACATTGCCAAATGTCCCTTGGGGGAGCGGGGCAAAATCACCTCTGCTTGAGAAATATTGGCCTTGAAGCATCTTTTTTTCTAATTGTCCCCAAAATGCTGTATGGTAAATTAGTATCCTTACTGTAACTTACCATGGTCATAGGAATATTCCTCTGGACTACGCAGACCCAGATCCCTTAGCAGCAACTTCCAGACAGTGTGAGGCTTCTAGTCTCTTCCTCCTATGTCTGTCCTTTGGACCCTAAATGGGTCTGCATGTGTTCCCGTGAGTTACAGATTTAGGATTGGACAGATTAACCCAAGTGGCTGACTGTGACTAGAAGCTCTCCTTTCCTGGTAGGCAGAAACTTAAAGGAGGGTCCATTCAGGGCAGCATGTTGAGGTTTCAATGGATAGATTAACATTGTCCCTTGGCCTCTGTGACTTTTCATCACACTTTGTTAATCACAAACTGTTTTATCCAGTATTTCTTGGAAAATCATTAGCCATCTTTATGTAAATTCCCGTTGCTGTTCACCCAGGAGCACACTATGTACTAGTTACTTCTCACGTGAGAAATAGCTAATCAAAAAAATAAATGTCTATACCTTTTGAGTGTCTGCTTTAAATATCTCAAGGTTCCTATTTTGGCTGAATATGTGAGCCATGGCTATCTTCATCATCAGGAATAAAAACCTCTCATATCGCTATTTCAGATGCTTTGAAGTATGAAATCTATCTCTTCAAAGTCCCTCTATTCCACAAAGTGTACTTGTCACTTAACATGTATTTTTAAGTCTGGCTTTTCCAGTAAATTTGGTGCAAATCCATGTCCAGCCATTTCGTCATTATGCTGCGCAGGCAGAAACTTCGTTTTCTCTCTGTAGATTTGTTTCCCTTCCTTCCCTCCCCCAACTGGTTTCTTTTCCTTACTTGCATTCATTTGCATAATTTAAATTTATACCTTCGATTCTGAATATTCGGTGTGCACAGATTTAATGGATACAGGATTTAGAAGAGGGGAATTGCAAAAGTCACTTTAAAAAATTAACCCATTACAACGATTTCAGTCCAGGCTTAATGGAGAAATGCGATATATGACTAGGATGTTGAGGAATTTTCTTGGATGAGGCATAAAATTAACCCCTGTCCCAAATGCTGACTGTGGCGGGGGAAGGGAGCCGGGGCGGAGTTCATGGAGAGAACATGCAGGATTGGAGCTGGAAGGGCTTTAGGGTTGAATGCTCTTGTTACTGCTCTAGCTCCTCTTCCTCCGCCCGGAAGAATGAAACAAGGCGCCCTACACAATACTTCCACCCAGCAACTGACTCTAGCCGGGGCGCTGAGGCAGGATACGTGGTATTTCGCGGTGGTTAGTCAGAGTAGAGCATCACTGGCTGCACCAAAGGAAGGGCTCTAAGCGTCACTGTCACAAACTGCATCGCAGCCGAGTCTTCGAGATTGAAGCTTTTAGGATTCGAGGTAAGGTTAAAAAACATCACACTCCCTGTGGGAACTGCTCGAACTAAACACTCCACTGCAAGTATAACAGCATTCAGTCCATTAACTCCTCTAAAACAAAACCTTCCTTCTCAGTCTCAAACATCTGACGGCCTGAGAAAACTAAAAGCTCTCTCAACCATGACCAACAACCTGTTTCCTCAGATACGGAAGCAACAGATAAGCAAACGCAACAGGCGAGCCCACCAGCGGGGTGGGGCTGGGGGGGGCAGGTAGCCGGGAAGGGCCAAACTTTAAAAACTGCAATAGCGCCAGAGCACGCAGGAAACGTTTGACGTAGGCCTTCTTGCCGCAGAGCATAACGGGAGGAGTGCCGGAGCGCAGGTGCCGGCGCGCGCCGTTTGTAGACAAAACTCTGCAGACGACTGGAGGGGGCGAGTTCGGTGCCCGTGGCAGTTTAGGATTACGTACTTTTTGTGGAAACAGTACGGGCAACGCGGCGCGGGGACCGCTCCCACTTTTCACAAATCCTCGTGAAACGCATGGTGACGCAGTCCCTGAGCGCGCCAATCCCGGGAGGACTGGAGGGCGGGCTCTTCAAATTTGAATCCTCACACTGTTGTGTGTTAGGGAACTCCCGGCTGCGAGCTGTCGTGCCTCCGCAGCGCGACCCTTGAGTTTCCTGACCCCCAATCACGCAAAGCCGAGCCTAGACCGCCGCGGTCTCTCCCAGTCAGGACCTTCACCCAAGGTACGGCCTCCCCACCTCCTCTCCTCGACTCCTGCCTGGGGGTACCCTTGGGCTCTGTTAGTCCCTGCGCTTCAGAATTCTAGGCCCACGCGGGCTTCTGACTTTGGCGGTGGATTCGCAACTATCGATTCATTCGGTGTGTATATTTGTTGCATTTCTACTGCAGTTATCAAGAGTGTAGATCACTTCGTTCAGATTCGTTTTGATGGTGAGCGCTCTAGGCCTTTGCTCCAAAATTACCTGTAGAAGAAAACAACAACTTTATTTTAGAATGATTACCAAGTGGGAAAATTGTGTGCGTCATTGCCCAATTTTTCATCTTGGAACTCAAGGTGCACAGGGCTACGAAAACAATTGATCCAACCAACTTATATTTTCTTCTGATTAGATTACAGTTTGGTTGCACATATTTTCAAATGTTAATAAAAGTTAGGAAATGGAAGTCCCCTTCATTCTACTCTTCAAAGAAACGCCTTTTACAAATTGGTACACTTCCAGATTTTTTTCATATGCTTATGCTTCTGTGCGTGTGTGTTACAGAAATGCAATTTTATGTTCTGCTTCCTTTTTTTATTTAATATATCCTAGCCACGTTTGTTACTATACATATTTGTTTTTATTGAATGCATAAAATTTAATTGTATAAAATTCCGTCTGAGACTGGTGGACACCCAGATTTCTTCTAATTTCCTCAGGACCTCAGTGAACGTCCGTGTACAGTGCCCGTTTAAGAACTTGGGCTTTGAAATCAGATAAGCTGGGATCTCGCTCTTATTCTTAGGCAGTGGGACCTTGGGCAGGTTATTTAACCACCCTGTGCTTTAGTTTCCTCATCTTCAAAATGGGAATAACAATGCTTACCTCTTAAGAATTGCTGTAAGATTATGCAGTATCTGGCATATATACAGTAAATATTGGCTATTATCACATATATATTTACATTCACATGTAGATGTTTCAGCAAGAAAAAAATTTAGAAGTGGAATTTCTTGATCAAGGGTATGCTCCCCTATATTTAAAATAATCTTTACCAATCTGATAAGCTAAGAAGTTTTACTATTTTAATTCACATCTTTTCATTTTTTAATAAAATGGAATATCATTTCATTCATTTATTGGCCTTTGTATTCTTTCATGTCCTTTGTCCATTTTCTGTATTGATCATCATTTTAATTAATTCATTTGGTCTCTTTGTTATCTATTTTAGTTCTTTGTATATCATGTACTGCGTTTTTTGTTCTTGTTGTTTTGTTTGTTTCCAAATGTACCATTTGCCAGTTAACTTAGAATTCCTCTCACTTTTCCCACATCCGCCTTCCAGTTTTGGTTAGTGTGCCTTGAGATTATTGACCCATTCCATTATAATGCACTATAATTAGTAGTTGTAGTACTACTAATACAGTAAATTCCTAGAAAAAATATTTGTGTCTTTTTGGGAAGAAGAGTACCAGTTACATTCAGTATCATCCATAACACCAGTTGCTTAATTGCTTAGCCTTCTGTATTTACATTTACATAGCTAGATTGTTCGTGTAATGGTTTTCTCACCTGAGTTTTTATTTTGAAATAATAATTTTTTCCTAGTACATCAGCATTTGTCAGTTTTCAGAATAAGTTATAAGGATTAAGTTTTCCAAATAGCTTTAAGCAGTTAATGAAAACACAAGCATACCATTTTAGAATTCACCTTCTGTTCTCCAGTCCAAGAAGGAGCTCAACTTGAGGAATGTCGATTACTAAATTCCCATTGTCTAAAGTCTGTCCTTTTATCTATCAGAGTCTGAGCAGCATAATTTATTTTCTTTGGTTTGCTCTTTTAACTTGAGGAGAATGGGTCTTTAAGTGTTTCTTAAGTGGCCTCGATCTAGTGGTGTTTTGTTTTTATTCTGTATCTATTCTGCAAAGCCTCTATGGTCAGAGAAAATCCCAGGTGATATTGTTCACCTCTACATCCTAGTTTGTTCCACTGAAACCACTGTCAACTACTGGCAACTTTTATGGCTTACATCGAGTTGGTTTGTTAGATATAGGAAAAAAGGACTCCTAGAAGAACTCTGTGGCTTCCTGAGCGGGGAGTGAAATTTGAGGATCTTCAAAATCTTGACTACTCACGTCTCCATACTACATGATTGAATTGAGAGGGAAGAGGTTGGGCAACATGAAAGAAGGTGTTATGAGCTGGTTCTTGGAGCCTTTCAAGGTGACCATCATTATCTGCTTTTAGGTAAAAACAGTTCTGTATGTCTACTACAGATTGGGCTTATTTTCAGTTCTAGTTAATATGCAGTTTATACTTCCTTTTGAGCATTTCATTAGGTTCTGGGAAATTGAGATTGTGCAAACCTGCACATACTTTGCCATTTTTCAATTGTCTCAGTTTATTAATTTTTCTTTTCTAGAGTTTAAAGCGGATAGCTAGTGAGTATTATAACTCTTGGCATGGGATTCCCATCACTAGCACATTGCCACATAATTGTATGTGTTAGTGCATATTTGCTGCTTCTGTGGAGTTCAGTGGTTTTTGTCTCAGAAGGCTAGTCTCCCAAGATACCCTTTGTCAGCTCTCGTTATTGAGAAATAGTTCCTTATTTTCTCTCATAAACTGTTGGATAAATAGTAGTTTGTATATGAATTTTTAACTTGTATCTTTATTTCCCACAGAAGTTACTGTAGATAAAGATACTTGATGTCTTTTGTCTGACTGCATTTTTCTGTGATAGGCTTTTTATGTTGATATGATGTCGAAGACTTACTAGAATAGTTATAAATTCAGCAATAAAAGATGCTATAAATCTAGACTAGTAAGTTCCAAGCTCCTTGGGTCAAAGTATTTTATTTACCAAGTACTACAAAATGCAACTGTATGGCTTATCACCAAGAATCGTAATTTCTATATGTCAGATATAAAATTTGTACATAACAATCTAAAAAGTCTAAGACCATGTATGCTCAAGTACATGAGTCCCTTGAAAAATTCTAAATAGCATTAAAATTTTTAAAAATTAGAATGAATATAATTTACTTTTGATTTGAAAGTTTTTCAACTAAAACCTCAAAATGTTCTGCAGCATAACAAAATCAGGATTGGGGATTATTTAACTAAAAAATTGAATAGATTTTTCAGCTTGCTTTAGGATGTATTGTTTTGATTTTTTTGATGTATGAATAGATTTTTCAGCTTGCTTTAGGATGTACCTGCTGCCTTAAAATTTACATGCCTGAAGGGAAAAGCCTATTTGTGAAACTTAATCTTTTATAACTTAATATACTGCCACATGCAGATGTCATTTAAAGCTTTTTGATGCAGATAGTAGGTTGGAACTTCCAGGACTTGAGGTTCAAGTAAATTAAAAAAAAAAACATATTCAGATTCATTTCTTAGAAATATTACATAGATGATTTGGCAAATGCTGCTTTTTTTGTAGAGAAGTAAATTTAAAGACCAAACTGCTCATCTAATTAAAAATAGTAATAAAATGAGACTTAACAAAATAGAAAATCTTAGTCTGACTTGGGAGCTATAGGTTACCCAGTATTGTTGTGAACCAGTTAAACCTTTTAATTGGTATAATGTCGTTATGGAAAACAAATAAACTTAACTTTTTTTGCACCAAAGCGTAATAAACGTTGATTTCACATTGAACTACAGGTTTCTCTGGATCCTTGCTGAAGATCTATCCTGAAAATTGTGTCTGAGTGAATCTTCTGATAGAGGAAATCTGTTGCTCTTGTTTATTAATATGATTACAACACCTTTGAAACATCCAGGGATTCACTTGTCTTCAGAGACATCTTCTCAAAGGAGAAATATGCCCATTCATGCAGTCTTTTTTGACAGCATTCCTTCGGGTACACTTACTCCTGTAAAAGATTTGGTGAAATATCAGAACTTTTTAAAATCGAATGACCATAAGAAGAATCAATTTGTAGAAATGACAGTTTTTAAAAATAAAAATATATTTCAATCCACCATGCTAGCAGAGGCTAACACCTCTAACAGTCCTCTTGATATCAGTGCTATAAAGCCCAACAAAGATGGATTAAAAAATAAAGCAAACTATGAATCACCAGGAAAAGTGTTTCAAAGAATGAAAGAGAAAGTACTGCGTAACAAGCAAGAACAAGCATCAATAAACAGTAATTTGCTGGAACCACCAAAAAGTGAAAGTAACAAAATTTTCACTCCTAATGGAGCTGAGAAAAGACTATTGCAGCATACATATCTCTGTGAAGAAAAGGAAAACAACAAATCGTTCCAATCAGAAAACAGCTCTCTGAGAGGTTAGTTTTATTACGTACATGTTGGTTAAAAAGCTGTAATATGTTTTTTATTGTGCTCGGCACTGTTTTAGGTACTCCAGATACAGCAATGAACAAAAATCCCTGCCCTCATGTAGCTAGCTCACATTCAGGTAGTGGGAGACAGATACAGTAATTAAGTAATTTTATAGTAAAGTAAAAGAGAAGTGCTATGGAAAGAAAAAGCAAAGTAAGGATGATAGGGAGAGTTAGAGCAGGTTGTCATTTTCAGTGGGGTGGGTCAGGGTATGCTTCAAAGGGAAGGTGGCATTTGAGCCAAAAAATTGAAGGTGATGGATATAGATAGGAATCCTGGGTAATAGGGAGGGATGATCCAGACAAGTAACAGCTGGTACAAATGTCCTGAAATAGGAACATGCCTCACAGATTCAAGGACTAGCTAGGAGATTGGTGTATCATGGAGTGAGTGGTTAGAACTAAAGAAGTGAGGATAAATAAGAGGGTCGGATAATATAAGGCCTTATAGGTTAATGTAAGAGTTCGAGCTTTAACTATGAGCAAACTAGGGAGCCATTGGAGGGCATGGAGCAGAGGAATGACAAGACCTGACTTAAGTTTTAAAAATGTCACTTTGTTAATTTGAAATACTTACCGCAGTAATCAAGGTGAGAAATGATGTCGGCTTGGTTCAGGTGGTAGTAGTAAAAATAAGTAGAAGTGATTGAATTCTGGGTATATTTTGAAGTAAGAGCCAGTCACATTAGCTCACAGATGGGGTGTGGAATGTTAGATATGAAGGATGACTCCAAGTTGATTTTTTTGTTTGTTTTTTGCCCAAACAACCGGAAGGATGGAGCAATTTAACTAAAATGGAGCAGACTGAAGGAAGAGTGATCTTGGGGGCTCAGTTGTGGATTTTGATATGTCAAAAATTGAAGTAGATGTGAATTAGGCTGTTGAAAAAAATGTAATTTAGTGAAGTAGTCCAGGTGAGAAAAATATATTTGCAAATCATTTGCACCTAAGTGGTATTTAAAACTATGAGATAAGATCACCAAAGAGTACTTGTAGAAAGAGAAAACATTCAAGAAATCCTGGAGAAATCCCAAAATTTAGCAATTAGAGTAAAGGATAGAAAGTAGTGAAGGACATTTAGAAGAAGATGAGGAAGAAGGAAAACCAGGAGTGATACTTTGGAAGCCAAAAGAACAAATGCTTTAAGGAAAGAGCTGTGTCTAACGCTGCAGTTGGTCAGGTAAGATGAAGGCTGAGATTTGACCATTGGATTTAGCAACATGGAAGTCATTGATGACTTTGATGAGGGCGAGGTGATAGAATCAAAAACGTGATTCAAGAGGGATCAAGAGAATGTGAGGAGAGAAATTGACAGTGGTGAATATACACAAGGGAGCCAAGAAATATGGGAGGTATGGTTTTAAAAGATTTTACTGTTTTTAATAATTGGTGAAAGAATTTTTGTGTGCTGTTAGGAATGATCCAAGTAAGGAAGGAAAAACTGGGATCGGAAGTCTGATAATCTTGAGTAGGTGAGAGGGAATAGAATCTAAAAGTGAAGGTTTGGTTTTATCTAAACTTAAACAGATCATCAGTCAAATAAGATAGGCAGTGTTTATGACTTCAGAAATAATATGAAATAGGAAGTGAAGACATCAGCTGAGAGTGAGTTTGGGAAGGAGGTATTGAAATTTGAGGAGGTGGAGGTTTGAATAGTGTAGGAGAGTGGGAGAGTAAATGGTTTTAGGCTTAAATTTCATTTCCTGAGTAAAATTAAGGACCTATTTGAGATTTATGGCCATGAATTTAAATGAGAGCAATCAGTATGGTTGTTAAGTTTTCCTCTAGCTCTATTTAGCTGCATGGGTGCTGATGGGGAAGAAGCAGAGTGTTGGATTTTATCAGGATTGTAATTTTACAAAACATTTGGCGGTGGGGGGGAGTGCAAGTTGGTAACCACAATTGGCCATGAAATTTAAGTTGGTTAGGCAAAAAAAAGAGCACAAAGACTGAAGAAGTGTAAGTCTTATTGGGATCATCAGTGGATTTGAAAGAATAATCTGGAAAGATAGAAAGTGGTCAGATACTGGGACAGTTGAAATTGAGATTTTAGTGAGTTGAAGTAATTGATAAAGTTATTTTACATGTGTTATCTCATTTAATCCTTTCAGTAGACACTATGAGTAGAGGCTCATTTAATAGTCTAGGAAATGTGGCTTAGAAAGAGGTCTTGTCTGTTCTGTGACTCACAGATAATAAGTGATCGGCAGAGAATTAAATACAGGTATCTATTAGAAAGTGCATGCTTTTTACTACACAGTAGATTGTGGGTGCATTGTTGGGTTTGAGAAACACAAAAGCAGAGTTTTCTACGGGAGTTTAGAATGGAGGTGAGGGAGTACACAAAATAATCTGTTTCTCACATAGTCTGGGAAAAAATGGAGAAGCAAATGAAGTAATGCACCTTAAAGCACATTTAAATGTAGAGTGGAATTAGGAAGAAATAACAGCTTTGAGAGTCAGATAACTCTTTCC